CCCCATTGCTGGGGGGAACTGAGGGAGAAGGATGTTGGGTGTGGTCTGAATTGCTCCCCTAAATTGGCTCCCCAAAACTATCCCTTTAGCGAAGGGGGCTGGAGCCCCTTCTTTTGAGAGGGTCTTGGGGGGCTGCAGGGGGGTCTATTTGGGCGGGGGGTGGTGGAAAGAGGCCTCGAAAAGCATCCAAAGACAGCTTGTGGGTTGTAAAGATGGGGGCGAGGGGGGGAAGAGGAAAAGGGAAGGCGGGGCTTGAAGGGCGGGGAGAGCCCAGGAGCATGGGTGTGGGTATCCTTATTGTGACCCCCGCTCCTTATGCCCCCGAAAGGGAGAGGAAGAAAGAAGTACGGATATTCCTTCCCTTCCAGCCCAGAGGGGGGGGTCTCTTCCCTCCCCCCATATTTCCTGCCGGTTTGGGGGAAAAAGAGGCCCCACCGGGATCTAACATTTCCTACAGTGTTAGGCCGAGTGCTGGACCAGCTGAACTTCTGCCTGCCTGTTTCCACCCTGGGAAGATGGGGGGGGTCCCTCAGGAAGCTACCCCCTCCCTTATTTTCCTCCCCGCCCACGGCCCCCACTAAGGGGGAATCCCGCTGGGACCGACGGTTCCCCATCTATCCTCCAGGGGGCGTCTTCCGATAGCCTCTTGCGGTAGGTTTCCCTCCCCTCCTCTGAAAAGCCTGTGTCCCTCCTCTAGAAGAGGCTGGGAACCATGGGCCCTGGAGTCCCTCCTGACGCCCTTCCTCCTCCTCCTCCTCCTCCTCCTCCTCCTCCCCGCAGTCCATTTCCTGTACCAGGGGAAGTGCACGTGCCACTTCCTCTCCTCTCCGCTTCCCTAAAATGCAGCCTCCCCCCCCCCAGGACTGAAGGGATTTCCCCCCCTCCCAACTTTCTCCGCTTCTCTCTCGGCTTCGCACTATCTCCTCTTGTGGATGAACTCAAGGGAGGCTCTGCCCGGAGACCGATGACGATGACGAAGGGAGAATTCCCATTGGTCCCTCCGCTTTTCTGGGCCCTCCCAATTACGAAGTTCGAGGGAAACGCCCCCGCCAGACCCACTGATTCCGCCTCCGCGTCCTTCTCCCCTCTCTCTGGGGGCGCTGGTGGGGCGACATCCCTGGGCTCTGTTGGGGTCCCTCTTTTGTTGCTGGTGGGGGCGCTGGCCCGGATCCCCGGAAGCGAAGGGGGGAAGGAGACGCCCGGTAAGGAGGGGGCCCGTAGGGGGGAGGAGAGGGGCTGGGAGGGGACGTCAATGCTCCTGGGAAGGAGGGAAGAAAGGGGCTGGGACCCCAGTAGTGGGAAAAGGGGTCGAGGGCAAGAGGGGCGGGAGACTGCAGGAGCCTCGATCTCCGCGTGGTCTCCGCCCCTCCCTCACTGTATTTTCCCCCCGCAGGAGAATAGGGAACCCTCCCTTCCCTGGTTGTGGCCGAGGTGGGCGGGGGTCCCGGGAAGGCAGCTGATGTGGGATAAGAGTCAGCCGGGCCCCTCTCTCTGTCCCCCCCCCGTGGCTAGGTGGGAAGGGGACCTCGCGGACCCCGAATTAGCGCCTGAGCCCCGAAGCTTCTTGCACTGAAAGAGGAAGGGGACGGAAAGCGAAAGTGTAAGAGGGAAACTGAGGCATTTTTAGAGCTAAATCCACAAAGGCCATCAAATGTATAAGAAAAAGATTTTTTTTCGCAAAAGTGTTTTTGCAACCTCAGTTTTTCTTCTGAATCTCCATTTTTCTTAAGGGGAGAGAAGAGTTGAGCTTGGATTCCTTCTTGGGGGAGACTTTGAATTTGGGGAGGAGACCCAGAACCCCCCACCCCATATTCCCCCATTGCTGAATCGGGACCTGGAGGGGAGGGGGGAACGGAGGGAGAAGGATATTGGGTGGGGTCTGAATTGCTCCCCTAAATTGGCTACTCAAAATGATTTCTTTGGTGAGGGGGGCTGGAGACCCTCCCTTTGAGGCGGTCTTGGGGGGCTGCAGGGTGACAGAAAAGAGGGCTGAATCCCCAAATCACGCAAAGGCAGCCAGTAGGAGTTAATTTGGTGGGAAGGAAAATTTGGGGGATAACTAGGGAATCTGGGGGTTCCCTTCTCCCCAGGATCCACAGACCCCCAAGCCGTCTAGATCAAAATTGAGCAGCCCTCCCTCAACAGAGGGGGAGGGAAAGGATCCCCTATCTTCTGCCTACAACGGGGTCCTTTCAGCAGCCCCAGGAAGTCTCCCCACCCCTTTGTCCCCCCCAATTCAGGGGACTCTGAAGGTCCAGATAAACCCCTGGGGGTCCTCAACGCCCCTCAGAGAATCAGTGACCGACTTTCAAAATGAAAATTTGGGGATAACTAGGGAATCTGGGGGTTCCCTTCTCCCCTTCCACTCTCTCGCCTTCTCCGCTTCTATTGGGAGGGATATTGGGGGGGTCTGAGTTGCTCCTCCAAACTCCCCCTTTAGTGAAGAGGGCTGGAGCCCCTGTCTTTGAGGTGATCTTGGGGGACTGCAGGGAGGGTCTTTTGGGGAGGGGGGCAGGAAAGAGGCCTCGAGAAGCACCCAAAGGCAGCTTGTAGGGCTGAAGATGGGGGGAGGGGGAAAGGGGAAGGTGGGGCTTGAAGGGCGTGGAGAGCCCAGGAGCATGGGTGTGGGTAACCTTATTGTGACCCCCCCCTTCCCTTCTGCTCCCAAAAGGAAGAGGGAGAGAGAAGCTTGGATATTATTTTCCCTCCAGCCCAGAGGGGGGGTCTCTTCCCTCCCCCCATATTTCCTGCCGTTTTGGGAAGGGGGGGGAAGAGGTCCCACCGGGATCCAGCGTTCCCTGCAGACAGACGGAGGCCTGGACCGGCTGAACTTCTGCCTGCCTTTTTCCACCCTGGGGAGATGGAGGGGGGTCCCTCGGGAAGCTCTTTCTCCTCCCCTCCCTCATTTTTCTTCCCACTCCAGACCCCCAACAAGGGGGAATCCCGCTGGGACCGACGGTTCCACATCCCTCCTCCAGGGGGCGCCTTCTGGCAGTCCCTCTCAGCAGGTCTCCCGTCGCTCCGCCTTCCCGTCTCTCCGCCCCTCCTCTAGTAGCCTCTGGGAACGATGGGCCCTGGAGTCCCTCCTGAGGGTTTTCTTCTTTCTGCTCCACCCCACCCCCCCCGCAGCCCATTTCCTCCTCCAGGAGAAGCACGAGTGCCATTTCTTCAACGGGACGCAGCAGGTGCGGTTCCTGCACAGGTACATCTCCGACCGGCAGGAGATGGACTACTACGACAGCGACCTCGGGAAATTCGTGGCCGTCACTCCGTTGGGGCAGCCCGATGTGGACAAGTGGAACAGCGATAAGGCCGTCATGCAGTACCAGAAGGCCTACGTGGATCGCTTCTGCCGACACAACTACGAGGGTCTCCGGAGAAATTCCGTGGTTGGCCGGAGAGGTGAGTGGGGGAGGGGGAGTTCCATGGGGGGGGAATGCAGGGACCCCCCTTTTCTTTTCATTTCTTAGGACTCTCCCGGAGAAAGATTTGCCCCCTTTGTATTCTGTACTCTCCGATCTACGAAATTTATTCATTGGTATTTATTGATATTTATTGATACTCCTAATCCCTTCACCTCCCTTAAAGTGGACCTCTGGATGGCGCAGGATATAACATCATCCCTAAATAAAAAATGTATAAAAAATAAGGTTAAAAAATAAATTACCTTTAAAAAGTTTGAAATTCTACAACGATGACAATGAAACAATCAAAAGGGAAGAACTATATTCCTGTCCTTCCCATCAGTCCCATCATCTTTCTCTCTTCCCAAGGTCCAAAGTTTCCCCTGCCCAGAAAAACTTCTTTTCAGAATATTATACCAAATATTATATTTTTCTTTGGGGGGGGGAATCCAGCCAGGTCTCTCTCTTGCCCAGTATATGGATATATTTCAATATAATCTATACACTATATAATATTTTAATATAATATTTTATATTAATAAATCAATAATATATTGATTTACTTATCAACTTTTAAAACCATCTCTCTCTCACAGAGGGACTTTGCATGGTATACCCATAAAATATAAAACCACCAAAATAATCTATAGGATTTAAAAGGCAAGAATGATTAAAATGCACTAGTAAATTAAAAGGGGGGGGCTTCAGGAGGCTGACCGGCCCCACGGCTGCCTCCTCCTCTGTGCCCCCCAAGCAAAGCCCCAGAGCCCCCTTTTCACCCCTTTCCGGAAGGCCAGGAATGGGGGAGGGGCTCCCTTCACCTCTGGGGCCTTTGGGATTTTAGGATAAAAACTTCCAAAGGTCTGGAAAAGGGAATCAGGGAAGGCTCTTTCGTCTGCTGTGCCTTATCCCTCTTTTAGTTCTTTTTATTCTTTATTCAGAGTCATTTGTTCATCCAATTTTGGGGATCTGGGAGAAAAGCCCCCCTGGAAACCCCCCTTTTGGTCACAGACTCAGGTCCACCTCCAGCCAAATCGCTTCCCTCTTCATATCTGGGAAGGTTCCTCATTTGGGGGCAGAGATTCAAAAAAAACCCACAAACATTAAAACTGAATTTTGGGCGTACGTTCAGCCCTGAAGCCTCCGATTGTTTAGTTCCCTGTTCCAGATTCTTGGCAAATTGCCTACGTTTGTTGTTTTAGTTTTATTTGTTTATATTAAAAAACCTTATTTATTTTTATCAACTGATAAGGTTTCATTGTGCAAAACAAGTGTTTCATCTGCAGTTGTTGCCATTTGTTGTTGCCATTTGTTGTTGCCAGGGTCTCCAAAAATAACACGCTACCAAAGAATTAAATAAGATCTTTCTTCCACAAGAGAAAAACCACCAAATCCCAAGAGAAAAAGGCATTTTACCAGGTGAAGCTGGGCATCTGCTCCTTCCGGAAATTATGGAATATTTAAGGGGAACCGACACAGATTTTGTTCTCCGCATATTAAGTCTGGAATTCCTTTTTACTCCTAAATTCTTCCCTGCAAACCTAGGAGAATAATTAACTGTTCATAAAAAAATCCCGACCAGATCCCAGGATTAAATTACAAATAACCAAACCTTTAAAAATGGCATGTTCTAAAACATTATATAATGAGCTGTTCATCAGAGAATCCCTCAACGGAGAAAAAAGTTGTTAGCAAAAGTTCTCTGACCTGGAGTGGATCTATGAAGGACCCTCTTGGGGGTTATTAATCCACCTATAAATCCACCTATTAATCCACCTATTAATCCACCCAAGAGTTGTGCCATTTGCTGAAGGAGGAGATCAAGAGGGATCCCTTCCAAGGCTCTTCTGCGATCCTGGGATCTGCCTGATCTCCTCAGCCACCAACTGCCCCCACCTTCCCTTTCCCCAACATTCCCCCCCCAGATCCTTTCCGCCCTCCCTGTCCGGAATGGGGCAACTCAGTGCAGGACAATTCAACAATTTTATTCAATTATTTAAAATAATTTTAAAAATGTTTTTTTTATTATTTTTGTCCTTCACATTTCATTTCTTTTCTCCCTCAGCCTCCTTCCTTTCCTGATTCTCTTTCTCCATTTCTTCCATATTATGCAAGTTGTCCTAGACCCCTCCCTGTCCCCCCATCCCAGGCAGAAGGGTCGGACCCCTCCCCACCTCCTTCCGGGGGGGGGGGAAATGGGGATGGGAGGGAGGCCGGACGGCTGCAGGGAGAGGTTGGGGGGGGGGACCTGGGCAGGAAAAAGCCAAAGTTTCAAGTACAGATTAGGCGAGACCTGGCTCAAAATCAGGGGGTCCTAATGGGGAGCCTCACACTGGAGGTAGTTGTTGAATTAAGAGGCAATCCCCCCTCCCCCCTCACACGTCCTGTTCCTCCCCCTCTTTCAACTATAATTTTATCTTAACTGGGAATTCCATTTTGATTGCTGTAGAAATATTTATCTGTTAGGATTTTAATGTTTTAATGCTGTAAGCCAGGGCTTTTCAACCTTTTCTCCGACTGTACCACTTTTAGGATATATGGCAATATTCAAGTACCACCTAGCAAGGTGTCAAACATTTGATGACCAAAAAAAAAACTGTTCAAAGTTGCAATTCCACTGAAATGACTTATGACCATTTTTCACACTTATGACCATTGCAGCATGCCCAAGGTCATGTGATTTATATTTGGATGCTTGGCAACGGATTCATATTTATGATGGTCACAGTGTCCCAGGGTCATGTGATCCCCTTTTGCAACCTTTTGACAAGCAAAGTCATTGGCAGGGCTGCTGGTGCTCAAGTGCTAAGGTGGGACTTCCTTCCCTCCCTCCCTCCTTCCCTCCTTCCCTCTTTCTCATTCCCATCTCCTTCTGAAGGAAGAATTTGAACCCCCCCCTATTTCCCCTCTTCTATATATTCATTGAACAAGGAAAAGCCTCCAGAGAACGAAAAGACAAGCCATTGAGGGAACTAGCTTAAGAAGGCGCATTCCCCTTGAAGAATTAGCTACTGGCTAGAAAGGAAAGTTAAGGAGCGCAGTGGGCACTTAAGGAAGAAAAATAAATGTAGTAAGTATGGCTTCTGGCTAAGGCAGCCTCCCCAAATGGCTCCATTCATAAGTAAAGGAATGCTACAGGCAAAATCCATTCAGGAGAAAAATACTTCAAAATCCCTTGCAACAAAACTTATAGCTAACAGTAGCAGAGCAGTAGAAGCTAACCTGAGACATCAGCCATCAGCCAAATAGAAATTGCCAAACACTCCTTAAGAACACAAAGCCCCCATTGCACAAATCCCAGAACTTCAAAGTCACAAAAGGACATAAGAATCCTTCCACTCTCCATCTCCCTCTGTGATTCACCTCCAGCTGGTGCTGCCTTTCTTCATTGCTGCCTTTCTTCATTGCTGCCTTTCTTCATTCCTCATGGAGGGCAATCCCTCCTCCCTACGTTCCTTGCCTCTTGGTTGCTGCCAGCACATGTGGCTGCCACAGAAGTTATAGATCCACTTGTGGCCGGCCTGCTTGATTTCCTCTCCTCTCCCCCCACCCTCGTCCTTTTTTCCATTCCGTGAAGCTAGAGCTGACTCCTCCTCCTCCCAAGGCTGCTTCTTTTTCTCTCTCTTCTTCTCCCGGCCCAAACTGCCTCCTTTTATAGCCTCTCCTATCTCCCCCTTTCTCATGGGGGTATTTATTCCTGTTGGACTTGTGCAATTTGATGATGGAAACTGATCCCAACCAGGAATGATTTATGTTTTTCCATCTTTCAGGATCCCATTTAATTTCATGCTGCAATTTGGTTTGGAAATGACTTAAAACAAATAATATTTTCAGGAGTGAAAAGGGATCTAGGCCTGAACTAACCAACTTGGTCTCCTGTTCTGGCCCCTCCTGTGTCTCCCCCATGTCCCTCCTCCCCTCCAGCCAAGCCCACCGTCTCCATCTCCACCACCAAGCTGGATCCCGCTTCCCCCTACACCATCCTCCTCTGCACTGCGAGGGGCTTCTACCCCGTGGAGATCGAGGTCCGGTGGCTGAAGAACGGGCGGCTGGAAGAGGAGGGCGTGGCCTTTGGGGAGGAGCTCCAGAATGGAGACTGGACCTACCAGGTGCAGGTGATGCTGGAGACCCAGCCCCAGCGGGGGGATGTCTACGCCTGCCAGGTGGAGCATGCCAGCTTGGAGGCCCCCATCACCGTCCAATGGGGTGAGCCCCCCTCCCTCCCCTACTGGTCTGGGGACCCCATCCTGCCCTGAGAAGTGGGAAGAGACGCTCCCTGTGGGGGGAGCTGGGATTGACCCTCCTGGGGTGGGAAGCTGGCCTTGATGCTCCTGCTCAGGGGAGGCTCCTTCTCCTTCCCCAGAGCCCCGTTCCTCCAACTCTGCCAAGAGCAAACTCTGGACGGGGATTGTTGCAGCTATGATCGGGGTGATCTTCTTCACCATGGGGCTCTCCCTCTACCTGAAGAGCAAGAAAGGTGAATCTATGGGGCTGGATGAGAGGTTGTGGGGAGGGGACCATCCAGGGGAGGCCTTTCAGCAACCTTAGCAGATGGCAAGGAGGCTCCCCTTGGAGATTTGCTTGGGAAATTCTGTTCTTTGAGAGTCTACTGTATAAGTGAGCATCCTGCAACCTACAGTATTATGGGCTGTCAATGGGTAGGTGGACATTCTGAGTCCTCCAGCCCATGAAGGGTCCTGATTGGCTCTTTTTCTCCTTTCAGCAATTCCCATCCAGCCTCCTGCAGGTGAGTTTCTCCTCAAGTGATAGATGTTTGTTTAACATTCATTAATTGTTCCTTTTTTTTAAAATGTGCCTGAACAATACCTCCTTGCTGTGGATAACACATTTTTTTGAAATTTTGGGCAGCTTTTCATTACAGAGACCTGAAAACAGTTCAATCAAAAACAAACACACACACAAACACTAAAATCTGGCCCAGGTGTTTTCCAGGTTTTGGGAAATTGCAAAAGAGAAGGGAAGTCTCCTTGTGAAAATTTCACACAATTTCTGGCCAAGGGACACCCAGCTTTGCTACCACTCCCCATCCTGGCCCCATTTTGTTAATATGAAACATCTGGGGGGGGGGAAAGCCTCCTTTCTTGATTAACCCCCCAGTTAAGTCAATTGGGAAAAATTCCACAAGCCTCTGGAGATGAATTGCTGGTCCTTTGCATCCTTTTCCACTTTGAAAAAAAAAAGGTGGGGACACTCCCTCATTTTGTTCCTACCTATCAACCACCCCCCTGCAATGTGGGCCTGTCTGGGGGGGTGGCTGAAAGAGAGGAATAATAAGCTGGCTTCACTTTATTTTCTAATTTTCTCCCCATCTCTTTTTTTCTACAGTACTCATGAATTAATCCTGCCGTCCTTCCTGCTTCCTGGTGGGAAAGGAAGGGGTTTTTTTCCATTAGATGATGAATTTCTGTCTCTTTTTTGCAATCTCTGAAAAATGGGAGGTCAGGATTATAGATTGGGGGGAGGAGGAGAATGGCAGCCTGGAGCTTTTCCTTCTGAGACACCTCTGGCTTTCCTTTGAAGGCCTCTCTTTCTTGTGAGGGAGCGGTGGAGACCATCTAGATTGACCCCCGGGACTCTGGAACTTCCTGTCAGTCCAGACATCCAAATCTTCCCCGGCTTTAAATCCACAGCAGCTTCATCTTCATTACTCTTCGTCTGAATCCCTTCCCTTCGCTTTGCTATAAAAGAATAAACATTGTAAGAAAAATCCTGGAATTCCTCCTTCCTTTGTTCCTCTTTCTCCTCCTCTTTCCTCTCCCCCCCATTGGAGGGTCCTCCCTTCTCCCCTTCCCCTTCCCAGATAGACACCTCTCCTGCCTCTGGATCAACCATCCCGGCTACTTCAGGTCCGAAGTCATAACTGGTTTGGGAGGAGGGTGGGCAAATCCACAGAGGGGAAAGGGCAGGACTCCCCTCCTGCTTGGGGGCCCCCTTTCTCTGCTTCTCCTCAAGCCTACTTTTGAGGACCAGGATGCCAGGAGGCATGGTCCCTTTCAAGCACTTGTGGGGAGCCATTGGGGGACACCCGAGACTCCCCCTACGCTCACCCAGCCATTTGTGCCATTTCTCTCCTTCACAACTGGAGGGTCCTGCTTCATTTTGGCACCCAACGCCTCCCTCCCTCCACCTGAGACCCCAGAGGCCTTTTCAAGGACTGCCCACCTATCGCCACTGCCGCCCCACAGCCCTTCCTGCCTTCGGGTCTGAAGCCCCCTCCCTCTGGACAGAGGAGACCCCTAGAGCAGTGTCTCCTGCATAGTTTGAGGGTCCTTCTGCTTCATGTCCTGGGTGGAGGACCCCATCCTGATCCGATGGTCCCCAACAGAGAGAGTCCTGTGTGAGTCTCGTTTGGCCCCAAACTGGAGCTCATCTGAGACCCCCCCCTCAGAAAAGGCCCTGAGTGGTCCTGTGGCCAATGGCCTTGATCTTTGGGAAGGTTGCACTGATGTCCATCTCCCTGGTTTGAGGGCTCCTGGGCAGGGGGTGTTGGGAAGGGTGTCTTCCCCAGGGCCTCTTTGGGCCAGAGCAGAAAGTCCAGCCGAAGCCATTCATGGTGTAGGTAGGAGACATTTGCCATCAGGGGGGAGGGAGAGCAGCTCTGCGGGAGAGAGGAAAGATCAAGGGGGCAACTCTGAGTGGAAATCCCCTCCCTTCTCCCCAACACCTTTAGATGCCCCTAGATAGCTCTCCAACTGAGCCTTGCCCCCTCCAGAAGTCATCCAGACTGGTTCTGCAGGATTTCCGTTGCATCGATCGCCAAGGGCAGATTTTTTCCCTCCCATTCCTCATCTGGGGCACATGAAGAATAGGTTGGTGGAGGAACTGTCTCAAACACAGAGAAGATTTGGGCTCCTGTCAGTAATACCCACCCCCCTTTGGAAGAGAGCCTGTGGGCATCTGGAAAAGGGACAACACCAAATGTACCAATTGTAGAAAAAAAAAAAATCAGAGCAGACTTCCTTAAGATAAACAAAGACCTGTGTTGGTGATTGAGGATTCATTGCTCAGAGGAAATGAACCAGCAATTTGTAGAATGGACAGTCAAACTAGCAGTTAGCTGTTTCCCAGGAACAACTATCAATGATGTGAGTGAGAGGCTTACTAAAAATAATGTTGGGATTTTTATGATTCAGGCTTCTATAGTAAGACTAGGCCAGTGGCCAGCTTGCGTATTAGAGGCCTAGGACAATAAGTAGGACAATGACATCTTCTGACAGAAACCACCATGTCAGGCTATGAGTTAAAATGCACAAAGCTAGTTAGTAACAAAAGCTAAGTAAATGTAGCTGCATTGTATGTGTTATATCCTGTTCCAAACCACATATCTGAACATCCTGTAACAGGAAAAGCTCTATAGAACTGTGCTCAGAAACGCCAACCACAGAGCCTGTCCGGATAAATCCGGACA